CTGTGGCTCAAGTGGTAGAGCGCTAGCCTTGAGCTGAAGAGCTGAGGGACAGCGCCCAGGCCCAGGGTTCAGGCCCCATGACCGGACCAAAAAAAAAAAAAAAATGGGTCAACAAAAGATTATTGTTCTTTTGCAGAACACAATAAAATATACTGTTCCATTTGCCATTTTAGTATCTTTTTTTATAAGGTTCTACATGACAAACTTCTCTCCACATTTAATGTACTATTAAAATTGTATCTATAAACTGGAAGAGGTACTTTCTGGAGCATAACAGTCAATGGCTTTTTTTTGGAAGAGAAGTTAGACCTTAAAAATTAGCAATTTGGAATAATTACCTTCTGTATAGGTGGAAGTCGTCTACTCTCTCGATGTACTGCTTCTAGAGTTTCAATATGCATAGCTACAATTCCTAGGATGAATTAAAGTATTCAAAATAAAAGCACAAAACAAGCAAAATAAAAACAAATTCTAAATATATCAGAATTGAAAACTAATAAAATTTTGGGTTACTCACAAAGCTAAACATGCTGGGTGCCAGTGGCTCATGCCTGTAATCCTAGCTACTCAGGAGACTGAGATCTGAGGATCGGTTCAAAGCCAGTCCTGGCAGGAAAGCCCATAAGACTCTTATCTCCAATAAACCACTAGAAAGCTGGAAGTGGTGCAGTGGCTCAAGTGATAGAGTGTTTGCTTTGAGCTGAAGAGCTCAGGGACAGCACCCAGGCCCAGAATTTAAGCCCCAACATTGTGAATATAATTTAAGTTATACACTTAAAAATAGTTAAAACGGCCAGGTGCTGGTGGCTCATGCCTGTATTCCTACTCAGGAGGCTTAGATATGAAGATTGCAGTTTGATGCCAGCCAGGGTAGGGAAGTCTTTAACACTCTCCTATCCAATTAGCCACCAAAAAAAGCTTAAATGGAGCTGCAGCTCAAGTTGTAAAACACTAGGCTTGAGCTTAGGGACAGTGCTCAGGCCAAGTTCAAGCCACATTGCGCGCACATGCACGTGCGCACGCACACACATGCACAAAAGATGGTAAATCTTGTTCTGTATTTTATAATAAAAAATAACAATCATAAGATAAATAGTATGCATAAATTACCTGGTAGAAAGGTTGTTACGTTAGAACTCTGTCTTTCTAATATTTGCAAAATGATTACCTGGTATCATGCAATGAAGGCTCTTGATGTGATCCTGAGTAACTCCACTCTCTGTGCAAACCTTGTCAATAAATCGGGTAATAAACCGCACAACAGAGTTGGCAATGTCATTGTTCTCTGAGTCTTCAAACCCACTCTCTGTATCATAGCTCTCAGCTACACTTCCTGCAATACTAAGTCACAGAAAGAAATCATGGTCAGAACACATGCAACAAGTAATTACTACATTATAATCAACAGAATATTAAAATTTGCTCAAACAAATAGATACTCAGGAGGAAGGGCTAGCTTAACTTCATGGCTCCTATAAATGACACTGTAAAATATCATGTTGTATTTGTCTACAGTTATGGTTTAAATATGAATATTACTCCAGAAGGCTTGTAGTACTACTTTGGGAAATAGGTGACATTTAAGAAGAAATAAGGAGGTGATTCTGTGGCTATTTCAGAAAGTACATTCCAGATTGAGGGAATGAGCACAAAGGCTGTAAGGCAGTACTATTCTTGGACTAAGATGAGTAGTAGCAGGGAGGCCAGGCTGGCTAACATAAGAAATGATGGGAAATAAAGTCACAAACATAGGCTGGGCACAAATCCTCACAGGCACGGCAAAGGCTTTGGAGTTTATTTTCAGAGAAATGAGAAGTTGCTGGAGGGTGGAGAGATAGGGTTAAAGACATAATTAGAGCACCAGTGAGTGGCTCACGCCTATAATCCTAGATACTCAGGAGGCTGAGATCTGAGGATCGCGGTTCAAAGCCAGCCAGGGCAGGAAAGTCCATGAGACTCTTATCTCCATAAAAACCACTAGAAAACCAGAAGTGGTGCTGTGGCTCAAGTGGTAGAGCACTCGCTTGCCTTGAGCTGAAGAGTGCAAGGACAGCGTACAAGCCCAGAGTTTAAGCCCCATGACCGACCAAAAAAAAAAAAAAACAAAAAACAAACAACAAACCAAAAAAACATAATTAGGCAGTTCCATAGATGAGATGAGGAATAGGAGGGATGAGAAACAATGACTTTGTCAAGGATATTCTCACTGATAATTTTTCAGAGTGATTTCCATAAACTACTTTAGCAGAATGTAACTGAAGGGCTAGATCAGTAGTGGGTGAAACTTTTTTTTTTATTTTCAGGTAAGGAGTAGGTTTATTCATCGTTCCGGCTGGCACCAGGCCATCTTGGTCCTCCACGCGGTGGGGAAAGGTCTGGGAAAGAGAGCTGGGAGAGCTGGGAAAGAGAGAGAAAATAGCTAGAAAGGAGAGAAAAGAGCTAGAAAAGACAGCGTCTGGGAAAGGTGGGAAAGAGAGAGCTAGGAAAGAGAAGGAAGCTGGGAAAGAGAAGAGAAGGAAAGAGCTGAGAAAGAGCTAGAAAATAGCAGAGAGCTGGGTGAAACTTTTGAAAACTGTATCAATAAAGGTAAAGAGCACAGGAGTAGATTTACAATGGGATGAGGTGACAGTCTTTTTAATAAAGAAGAAGTAAAGAAAGTCTAAAGTGGGGAAAATGGTTCATAAAAATTATATACAACAATATTTGCCCAAAATGCTTTCAATTTTCTGATAAGCCAAGACTGGCCCCAAGAAGAATAGGAAAAGGGTCCCTGTGTTCACATTTTGGTACCTGTTTGTGACAATGCTGTTGCTCCCACTTTCCCAGTCTCCTGGTGCAGATGCTCTCAGGAGCTTGTTTTTACTTGTATCTAGTGGAACTAGCAGGTTGACCATGAGGTTTGCAAAATGGATGGCCTGGCTGAAAACAGTGCTTTCCTCATGTTGCACCAGCTCTTGTTGAGTTGACTTGCTCAGAGTAGGCCAAAGGCGTAGCTGCTCAGCTGCCAGGTCCATTGCTGTCTTTTCATGATACTGGTTATCAGGAAGCCTGTCCTAGGGAACACAGCAATGAAAGAGAACATCTATCACTTCACTTAAAAAACATGGAAAATGTTTTAAATCTACACCTTCTCGCTGGTATATTGTATATGCTATTTTCAGAGTACACCAAGAAAACATTTAAAAATCAAGAAAATTGATTTTCTAGAAAATTACAAAAAACTTGTTAAATTATCAGCAGAAATCAAAACTCATAAAGAAAATGTAACAACTACCACAAACAAAACCAACTCTTTCCCACATTCAACCTGCCTTCAGTAGGACCAGATAGTAAAACACAGACAGATGTTCCTGATTGTTTATACTTCACTATATTTAGTCAACTCTACCCGTCACATAATTTGTTAACTTAAAGGTCCTATGTACAAATGCTCTGGTATGTAGCATTTACTAAATCATATACTTACTTCTTTTCTGCTCTTTGAGACAATGAAATGGAGTAATCAAGGTCACAAAAATATATTGAGATTTCTTTGTAGATGTGAGAGCCAAACATTATCATCTATATTACTGGAATAAGCAAGTGACTATGGGACTTTAAAGAGAGGTTATAGGCTGAAGAGTTGAATAATAGCAATCTACATGCATTTTATAGCTTATAAAGAGTAAAACATCTATCTATCTATCTATCTATCTATCTATCTATCTATCTATCTA